TTGCATGCCATTGTGTAGGAAATTGGATGTCCAAATTATCCACTCTGAGACTGAAGGAGAGTACTTTCCTCTTCTCTTCCCAAGCATCTCACATTGCTCTTTATTGCTTGAGCAGCTGCATCAGGGGAAACCGTTATGATTTGGCATGGGCAGCATGCAGCCAGAGACACCCATTTTGGATAATTGCACTGAAATGTGCTTATGTAGAGGTGCCTGAGGCAACCAGCTAACCACAAACATAATAACAGTTTTACTTGAGCTATGGAAGAAGAAGTTGTAGAGGGAGAGGGAAGGAAGGGAGGAGGAGGACGAGAGAGACGCACACAGAGGGCAGGAGATGAAGAGAGAGAGGCAAAGAGAGGGAGTTTATGCAAGGAGAGGTCACTTTTGAATAGATGCTGACACTGCTTTATTGCACATATAATAAGAGAGTTCACACTGAGGAAACCTTCCGTGCTTCTCAACTCTGCTGTAAAAAGTTTGAAAGAGAATTTATCTGTGTGTTTTTTTTGTTATATTTATGAAGCTAGATAGTGTTATCTGCAGTTTGGGAATGAAGTGGGGTCAGTGAATTGGCACAGCTGTCCCTCCTGTCCTGTGCACATATTTCCCTTGGGCACATACGTATTTGCACACACGCACAGAAAACACACACCTTCCACTGACGTGAATTAATGGTCCCCTGGTGTCATGAGCACAATGTCACTTTCACTCGTTTTTTTTTTTTTCTTAAAAACACACGCTCGTGGGAAAAAAAATATGCTCTCTCGCTACCAAACTGGTGAAATTTTTGTCCGCCATAGGCCCTTAGCTTAGCGCTATGTGAGGATACGTGTGTGTGTGTTTGTTCATCCCCCAAGCAGTTTGCTTTAATCTCCTTTAATTTCATTCTCAATCTTTATGGAAATCAACTCACAGCCAACTCCTCATTTCACCATCTCCCTTACTAATTAAGAGCAGGAAATTGTTCCTGGAATTGCCTGGCATGAGAGAAGTGTGTCTCATCCTTCAATCACTTCCTCATTTTCTCCTCGTGTCTACAGTTGTTTTTTTTTTTTGCACGTTAGTGTGTGAAGGTCTGTTTCTCTGTCCCACTGTGAGTGTCTTACCACTTTTGTGCTGCTGTTCTTTCTCTGTGTGTGTGATGTGTCGGCTTATTTGTCTCCATCTCCGGTGTGCATTTTCCGAGACAGTATCTCACCGTCTCTTATCATTCTGTCTTTGTCTTTGGGTGTCTGTCCATGTACGTGTGTCTCTGTGTTGTGTGGGTAGCCATGTGGTGGATTTAGGGCTAAAGCTTTGGGTGATTACTCCCATAATGAACCATCATGCTCTGTTCAGGCTGTCATCCCCCACAGGGATTGACTGTATTATGAAGTTATCATTCAGCCTCAGCAATACTCTGTGTCCCCACATAACTCTCTTAAGCAATATAGCTCTACACACACAGCATCTGATAATGAGTAGATTTATATTGCATGAAATTAAACCTCACTGTGCAGTTGGGATGTCGTCCTGGAGAACTTTCTAAGTCTTTCTATCTGGAGAAAGCAGACGGCGCGATCACCTGAAAGGCCTCGTTCACACATGTGGAGTCAACATGGCAGCTTCTCTCTTAACTGTCACGGCTGATTTGTTTCGCAAACTGCACACAGAAAAGCTGTTAGCACGAATATGTGGGTGAAAAATAATGTAGTGTTGAAACTTTATACTACAACAATGACACATGAGCTGACACTGAGGTTTAAATCTGTCCTCAGGTCAGTCCTGGCAGGGGTCACACAGCCTGGAGCTGTCAGTTGCACCTGTCCGAGGATATTTACATAAAGTAGAAACTCCGTGACGCTCGTCGTTCGCATTTGGTTGACAGTTGACTTTTTCAGCTCCTTCCGAATGCACTGTTTAACAGAGGATTGTCCCTTTACGAACAGTCAAGGATGGTTCACATTAACATACGGGGTGTTTATGGACATAGTTAGAGTTCAGGAATAAAGCAACCTGCTGAAATGGATTGATAGGATGCAAAACACTTGCTCTCACATTTCAACAGCTTTTGTTTTGTTTACTGCGTACCTCTCAGACTTGGGTGAGGATGTCCTGAATCAGCATTCAGCACTGGACCATGTTGATGTGTTCACTTACTGCTGCACATATTGAAGTACCTTTGAATTGTGACATGTGCACCTACCTGTGGATGTCCTGAGGTGCATTAAACAGATGAAGCAGCTGCTTAGTTTAGAAAAAAAAAGACTGAACTGCATAGTGGTGGCTGTGCATCTTATCTGAAGTGATTGGTGATTAAATAGAAAACCTCTTCCTTGGGTTTCCCTTTTGGTTCTCCAACCCTAACGTCCGTATGAACAAAGGGGAGAGTGATTCAGCATAATAAAATTAGCACGAGTCCGTTATTTTCTTTTCAGAGGTCGATTCTAAACTTGCACATTTGTAGACTAGACGTATACGTATTATCTCTCCGTGTCTTTTGGAGTCACATTAGGGTCTTGATAAAGGAGATGTAATCAAAGTTAGATTGATGGTTCGGAGGTTTGATGGATGGCTGGTTTTGAGAGAAATGAGGCAGATAAATTGGAGATGATACAAGGTGGACTCGACTGACACAAAATTCTATTGGATGGTTTGATATAGAGAAAATGGTTGACATGAAAAAGAATTTAATAGGTAATGATCAAGCAGACGCTTTTGGTTTTTCAAAAGAGGCAGTCTTTCTGTGCGCTGCCAACTTTCCTGTTTCTGCTTTTCTGCCCACCTGCCATCCCAATTTTCAACCTTCCCCTTCCTCCCCCCTCCCATATTACCTCTACTTTTCTTTCACTCTGCCAACCTTCTATGTCTTTTAGCCATGTAAGGTGACTGTCCTGATGAAATACCCAGAGAGTGGCTCAGAGTCGACCGGTTCAGCATTAAAAAATGTTCTATCTTGTGTGTGTGTGTGTCCACAAATGGTGTACCACAGCTGACGGATAAGGTGATTAAGAGTACACCTGGGAACCAGGGGAGTGAAAGGACACAAGGTTAATACACACATGCACACGCATGCAACATGGACACACACACACACACACACACTGTGTCCTCCTATGAAAGTTTTCGACATGGTTTTAAAAGGACAGAGGATAGAAAATTTGTCTCCTGTAGCTACAAGCCATCCTTTCAAACCAGCAATGTGACTCTGAAACTCCTCAAAGTGAAAAAGGTTTTTTTTTTTTTTTTTAAATGTATCAGTTGTTTGGTGCTTTTATTGCAGCCATATGCAGGGATTTCTAAATATCTTTTTAAATAAGCTCATGATCACAGTTCACTCCATCTCCAGGGTATCTGTCTGCAAGTATGTAGCCAGATAATTCATTACAGGCTGACCTCAGTTACAATACTGGTATGTGCTACTTCATTACAAATCTTGCTCTTATATGAAGTATTTTATTTTTTACACATGCTAAACTATGTGCATTTATGTTGTTTGGCAGTTCCTAATTTAACCTTATAAATGCTTCTTTAGTGAGTCTTTTCATCCTTTGACTTGATTTCTTCTTCCTCAGTAGAGGTAGAAGAAACCAAACCAGAAGACAACATTAAAAAAAAAAAACATACAGTGATTTCTTTCTTCTCACCTCTCCTCCCTCCATATGTTCCCATTTAGGAATGCATCACAACATCTGATCAGCACCATAAATAAAGTCACCTGCTAAGCTCCTGCAACACCACCACCTATCTCAGATTACACTGTGCTTTATGGGCTGTTTCTCTGCGGCGGGCTAATTATTTTTACATGTGTTAGGTTCAGCTTCAAGTATACGGAGGCATGATTACAGTGTATCAGGGTTCAGCAGAGAACCAGAGACGTGAGCGGGAAAAGTGGCAAATTATGCTTTTAGCTCTGTCCGGTACTTGAAAGCAATCAAAAGTTAAGAAGGACAAGGTTAAGGCAGGAAGGTATAGAAATGTACAGTGTTAGAGGTAACCCTGAAGAGAGAGAGAGGAGGTGAGAGGAAGTTGAAAAAGTTGCAAGCTGACAGACTAAATTTGACAAAAATGCCTTCTTTCTATCTGTTTTTCTTTTTCTGTTGTTCTTATTCAAATGTCTGCTAAGTGTGTCTAGAATCTGCAACTTTTTTTTCCCCCTCCTCAAAAAAAACTATTGAGTTCTCGCTAAAACTTCAGTGAAAGAAATGGTCGAACATTCCAGGCTGCTTTGTAATGCTGTCATTTATCACAGCATGTGAGCCATTAGTGTGAATCATTTATTGTCTTTGGCCTGCCTGAGATCCCTGAACCCTGACAGATCTATATGGAATGAAAGCGAGGTTAAATATTGTGCATAGTGATGGAGAGGCAGGCATGCAGCAAAGCAGCCTGTGTTTAGTGTGTGCAGCCCAAGCACTTAAAAGTATGTTGAGCAGTGTGTGCGTGTAGAACTGCTGCAATCGATATGTGTCTCTGTGCGGGTGCGCGCCCCCCTGAATATGAATCAGTTGACATTCACATATATACTGTAGCTAAGTGTTTTTCCTTGTCGTGAACCGGAGAGTGTGAGAAGTCAGCGTATGCATGGGTGACTTCAAACGCCGCCAAACTCCGTGATTACTGTGTCGTTGTAATGACCCTGGTTTACTCTGGTCTAACACCGTCTCCAGACTGGTCCCTGTAACTGCTGAATCACAGGAGGTTTGGATCCCACACAACTTCACTAGTCGTTGAGATTTCTCCTCTTTTGATTAGTGTTGAATCTGTGTTGTGTTTCCAGGGTTTAAAGATTTAAAAAAAAAACTCCAACATGAATGCATGAATCAAATTAACCAGTTTAAATTCAAGGCTTCAGTTGACCATCGCTGTCACCACACTGTGCAACATAACCGGGATGTCATCACAGCCGACCTGAACTGCTAAATCTGAACACATGAAATCTGCCTGTATCATTACACTTTCTACAATCATTTTGTCACAGGCTCACCGATTTACAAGTTTCTTGTTTCTCTCCTCAGACCTGAAGAAGGCATTTGAGCAGGAACCCCTGGGAAAGGAAGTATCCCTGGAGCAAGAAGTGCTGTTACAGTGTCGCCCTCCGGAGGGCATCCCGGCTGCTGAGGTATGTGCAGCGTTACCGTTAACCTCCACCTGAGGTGAGCACAAAGTAAGATGTGAGATTAAGAGAGAGGCCTGCTGGAGCAGAACAAGGCAGTGATTGAACAGAAGGGATGTCAGAATGAAGACAACAGAGGATGTAAAAAGATACAAAAATAGAAATCATCAAGTGGAAATAACTTGAAAGCGCCAAAGAAAAGTCAGCTTTTTTACAGACGTGACACTTTTTGAAATTGCCTGCAACTTTGAACGACAGACAGCAGAGCTCGGTGGTTTGATGGGTGCATGCACTCCGTCACGATATGCAGTCAGTGGGTGAAGAGTTTGCTGAATAAAAACCTATTTTGCCCTTTTGAGACATTTTGTTAAACAGCCTTTTTTTTGTCTTTGTAGTGATATGCCTATTATCACAAGTTAACAAGACAACACCCGTTCCACCAGAGATCATCTTAGATTTTCATTTGGTATGTTGCTGTAACAAAGAACGTGAAAATGATATGACTAAAAGAATAAATTAGCAGATTTAAAATAAGCGTTAATTGAGTTCACATTTGTCTTATTTTTAAAGGTCTCTCCAACATGTTTTCAGAAAGGTCCCACATCGTGAAAATCTATTTTTATTGTGTTGTAAGGTGTAAAGTAAACACTGTTGGGATATGAGGATGTTTATTTTTGTCATTCCTCAAGCCCCCCTACCTCAAACTGTTCTCATTTAAATGTTTTTCTGTTTCTGCCCATTTCGACTACCTGTTCACCAGCAGTCACTTTATAGCCATTTCCCAAGCTGCAGCTCTGCATTGCTGAGCTACTGATTTTATAACATCATCTGGCAAACCAAACACAACCGCGGCTGTGCTGTGCATTTGGAGATATTTCCATGTGAAGTGATCGCTCAGAGAGAAAGTTAGAAGTGATAGCAAAGTGCTGGTCGTTTACAACGGTGCTAGTGGCAACGTGGTGGACTGTTTTGCTCTGGGTTGTCATCACAGGTGCAGAGAGAGTCTTCTTCCTGAATGGGGCAAAGTCAAAGAGCCTGTTGAGAACAAGGCTACAACCAGGTCTTACACCGTCATGCTGAAGTTAATCATTTCTGCTGTATTTTTTTCCATGTGAGACTTTAGAAATAAAAAATGACAGGAAAAAGAGCCACATTAGAGAGCTGGATATCATTGCCGCTGTCACTGGACAACTAGTGCAGCACTGCCTGGGACAAACAACACTACAGGCATTGAGCAGGACATCAGAATACAGGATTAGTATGCATACCTTTACTATCTCAGGGGTGTTACCAATACAGCCAGCACAAACCATGCCGATCACCCTATAACCCTGTGCCACACATGCATCTTCAAAACTGCCAACGTAGGTGAAGCGCTGGAACAAAGACCAGCTGGATTACATTTAAGTAGACAATATTGTTACCGATTGTGTCCCAGGCCATTTTCCTTTTAAAAAGAGACTGATAGAAAATGTAATGTAAAGGGACAGAATATTGGACTATTTCACATTACGCAACATCATGTTGGATCGTCAGAGGGGAGCAACCTAAATCCTATTTTCACCGACAGATGCTCGTAAGCGCTGCTACACTGAGGTAACGTCGATGCTTAGATCCAAAGTTTAAATTTAGTCTTAAACATCCCCAGAGAGCCAATTTAAACACAAGTTGCATGAAGAAATCCCAGCACAGAGGTTATTTTCCATCTCTCTTGCGCTCTAGGACTCCAGAAGGACCGAAAAAAAATACCACGTTCCTCCTTAACAGCGCAGATGTACTGTACATACTACTTAGAAACTGAACTGAAGTGACAGTTTAGGAAAACAAAAAACTTCTATTTGCTCACATAACCTATTATAAAGAGCACATCAGTCTTTTGGCCACTTAAGCGGTTAAAGCATGTGACTTTATTGCCTTGCTCAAGGACGATTTGAGGCAGAGATTACCACCCCGTGCTATCCGCAGGTGTGGATTTCAAGCACGCACATAAATACAAGCGTGGTACACATACTCTCGTAACCTCCGCTGTGTAAGATAATATTGTACCCCTCAAGTACATTGTCAGCACATTGACATTTTATACACTCATCAAACGTGTCACACAGTAAACAAGCACTTTGGAAGAGCCGCACACGTCATTTCCACTCCCCCAGGGCCGTAACTACAGCGAAGAATGCCATTTACAATTCAGATTGTTCTTTACTTTCCCGGTTTCATCTGGCTGCGTTCCCACCTGAACGGATAAAAATACATAATTTCATTTAGTTGGTCACTGGGGAAGAGCAGCACGGCACTCGGAGAAGGCTGCCGCTACCGGATAAGGAGTCTCTGAATCAGGTTTCACTCCTCAGGGTTTGATAGTCATTTTCAATTGCACCTAAGTACACAGCTCCCCTGAGAGAGAGAGAGAGAGAGAGAAACTGAAGGAGAGGGGGCGAGGGAGGCACTCAGACGGAGCAGCATACAAAGCGAAGGGAGAGTGTGAGAAAGGAAGAGATGAAGATGGGGCAAAAAAAAAGAAGAAGAGGAAAAGCATGACACAGAATGATGAGTGGAAGGAAATAACAGAGTGATCATTGTAGAAATCCCTCATTCTTTCATTGGATTTTGACGTTAGTTACCATCATAGTAGCCACATAGACGTTCAATGTTTTTTTTTGCTCATTTTTTTTCCTGCCGTACGCCCACATTCACACCGGAGCACCTTCATCTCTAAGATGCCTCTCCGCACTAATGACTCATTACTATTCCTGCCTTATCTGCATCTCTCGGTGCATTTTATTTTTGACACCTGTTTGAACAAAACACATTGATGCACAAAGGCGTACTCACAAACCTCCCGGGTGCACACGCACGGACACTCAAAGCTATTTTTCCAATGTGTTCAATTTGCTACCTCTTCCATTCCCTTTTCTGCTGTCATAATGGGATCTCGGGGCAAATGGATTGGTCTGTCTCCCCCTGTCTGGTGAAGCTGATTAGAGGGATTTGGGTTTAAAACCTGCTGATGACCTCAGGTGGTAGCCCCGGACTTTCTTTTTTTATCTCTTCTGATTTTCTATTTCTCTTTGTTCTTATCGTGTCTTCACATTCTCTATTTCCCCCCCGTTCTAACACATACAACCGCCTTCTTTTTTTTTTCCCCCTCTTGATTGACAGCCCTCACTGTTGGCGTCCCGTGACCCCTTTAAAAAACGTTCTAATATTAGTGGTTGCGGTTGCCGTGTCGACCAGTTGACGACCGCTGTAAAGTTGTCAATGCGACGGGGTTGGTGCCCTGTCATGTGATACCTACGTCTTAATGCCCAGCTGGCATCACATGGCTGTCAACATGCTGCACCGAGGCCTTGACTCCCTAAACTCACAATTTACTTTTAAACAGCTTTATTGCACGTGCAGATGCTTGTCCATACAGTCTCTCAAACATATGTACATATTGAGCCTGAAAGAAATGCGCACACTCGAAGCATCACAAGCTGAGGTTAGCCGGTGATCATTTTATCGACTGCTGGCCTTGAGAGGTCAGGGTCAAACTAATCCGGGATTGAAAAGAAAACGTCTACACACCGATGCACCATTACTTCCTTTTCACTTTCCTCTGACAGTACTGCTCTTGTCAACATTCAGTCTCCTCTACATGTTTTTTTCTCTCTCTCTCTCTCTCTTTCAGTCTGAAGCTCCTGAGAGACACACAATTTGAGACATTGTGAAATCTCTGAGACACATCTAAATCTCTTTAGACTGTGATAGAAAGCCTTTAAAAGCTGATGGAAAGCTATTGGATTCAGCAGGGAAGGTTCAGCAGTTCAGCGGGAAAGGCTTTATGGACACGGACGGGTAGAAAAATCAGAGGACTCGCAACAGGTGCAGCACAATGTTCAATCAGAAATCATCCCGAGTTTAGTTAAATTTTTCATGGCATCATCCAAATCAACGGAGAAAAGTTCTCTTGAGAAACTCCGCTGGAAGCGCCACGTGAAATCTAGATCCCAGCCACTCTCGACCGTATATTTTCCTCCACGAATGTTACGAGCGTCATTAGGGCACGAAGGCAGCGGACTGACAGCGAGAATACATTTATCTTAAAACTTAAAAGAGCAGGAGTGACCCCAAAGGCCAGGCAAAGTCAGTGGACTGCACATAGCAGGTGGAGTTATGGATTTGTGTGTGTGTGTGACTGTGAATATTTGTGTGTGTGCCTGTCTGCGTCTGTCTCTCGGTGTGAGTGATTACCCCAGCTGCAGTGAAATAAACACATCAGTGTGTGGTGACAGGCCCTCCATGTGTCTGTTCCTAACAAACACACACACACACACACACACACACACACACACACATACACACAAAGTCAGACGGTAACTGGATATGCTTCTGGAGCCGGGTCAAGTTCCTGTCACATTCTTGACCGCTCAATCCTCACCCTAAATTAATGCAAGTAATTCACATGGATAAGAGCTAACCACCGACCTCCATGTTGTCTTTCTGCGTGCAGCTTTTTACTTCAAACGTAAAGCCAGAAACCTAATAATTGATAATATTTGGATATATCACACATTAACGATTCGTTTCGTGTGTGTCGTGGTGTCATTGGAGGATTGTCCTCCAAAGGTGGAATTTGGATTCAAGGTCCACTTCAAGCTAAAATTTGCCCAACCTCGGTGTCCTTGATCGGGCTCCACATCCAGCTAACATCTCCAAGGTTGCTGTCCTGCAGCTAATCACACAGAAATGAGATTTTTTTTTTACCCTCAGGCGTAACACACATCCCTTCCCAGGAAATAGCTGGGACATTCATGGTATTCAAATGTGTTGGTGCGAACCCAGGAGGCACATCTTACACAAGCACATTTAACTCCTACCCTCCCTCCTCGCCGTGACCACTGATTTTGTGAATGACTTTCCATGTTAACATATGTGGAATGAATCCAGACATGTGGATCTGCGTAATTACCCCAACGTGTCTGCTGCGTATGTATCGGTGTAACTTTGTGATGCAAATCGCAGCA